CGAAAGGAAATGAAAGGAAAGGAAAGGAAACAAAAGGAAATGAAAAGAAAAACAAAATATAAGGGAACAAAAGGATGGGAAACGAAAGGAAAGGAGAGGCAGCTCTCAAATTCTCCCCTGTAGCTGCACCACAAACCTCACAGGCTTTGAACAAACTAGTTTATTTCTGTGAATTCTGGTTTCTTACAACTATTTGACTAATTTCTATCCACTGTTTGATGTTTTGACCTTTTTTGTCAAAAACCTATGAGGACTACACATGCAAATATCAACTCTAGAAACRGGAGTTACATCCCCTGCAGCTCATACTGCGGGTTAGAAGCAAGAATGAGGGGGCCTCAGCTTTAGTTTCCTTATGTGCAATGACTGTGAAAATAACACTTGAAGTAAAAAGTAAGCTTTCCTTGCAGAGAGAACTGAGGATATTTATAGTGATTTGTTTTCCCACAGCCAGTGCTGTAAAAAACGTCCTCTCTCAGGAAGTGAATYGACTAGCAGACCTGATCACCAAACTTGAATGCAAGGTATGTGCAAAATCGTTTATGTAATTCAGAGTTCTGACTCCCCTTAGTTACGGTTGCTATGTCCCACAAGCTCAACAAATTAGCTACGATATCTCTGAATTTAAAACTCTGATTGTGTAAAATAAATCATAATTGCTTCAATTGTATCATGTCCTGAGATAATAAATGAAAATTGCCTCACAATCCTTGTTAGCACTCTTTAAAGGCCGGTTTAGACGGTACGATTTTCGCCTACAACTATTGTATACAACACACTCACGTCTGTCGTAGGCCAGTTGTAGGCTTGATTTACACGCTACAACTCGAGTTGTAGGATGGCACKAGCRTGTTGTAYATGATAGTTGTAGGYGAAAATCGTACCGTCTAAACCAGCCTTAAAACARATACTGTGTAGTTGTTTGTGGGACAAGATTTTAATTYCACTTGAAAAACTGCTGCAACAGTGATTGGTTCCCTATTGCTACTGACTCAGTCAGAATTATGAATATTTACACTTGTTCTAAATAAGATGTACAAAAAAGGCTCCAGGATATTTTTAGGCACGTGTCCTTGAAAACTTTGTGTTTGTCAACAATGTCATGAAAACACWTTGATTGACGTCCTCCAATGCCCTCTTCTATGGCAACAAAAAATTGTTTGATTCTGTACATGCTGTTGAAAGTGACTGCAAAAAATGAAGAGGTGTTTAACCAGGTTTTATAATATGAGGATAGGATACTTGTAGGACTGTGTAGTCAAAAGTGGTTGCTATTGAAAACAATGCTTCACAGCACACACTTGAAACCATCATGGATCTGCTAGTAATATGTTAAATACGACAAAAAATTGTTCAATTCTGTACATGCTGTTGAAAGTGACTGTAATAAATGAAGAGGTGTTTTACCAGGCTTTACAATATGAGGATACGAGGTTGCTATTGAGAACAATGCTTCACAGCACAGACATGAAACCGTCATGGATCTGCTAGTAATATGTTTCTGGTGTATCATTCAGGCCAAGTTCAATGTGGTGGATGAAGAAGAAGTAGATGTTACAGATGATAACATGGTACAGTACAGACTAAAATCTTTACCAAATACTCAAAGTACAAGTTAATTTCTCTCCTCTCATGGCGTCGGCCCCCCCCCCCCATGCTCTT